GCGCGAGTGCGGTTTCAAAGACCTGCTCAATGTGGAGCTGGCACCTGGAGGAGGTGAGCGGCCTGTGCTTTCATTACTGCACTGCTCTATGTGTTGATGTGTGATTCAGTGTGCAAAGGTGAGCGCATCTACATAAGCAAGCTCTATTTTGTGCACAGACATTTGATAAAAACATGCTAGCAGTGCATTGGCCAGGCATTCACATAAACATTTGCATATGCAACCAAACGTTATGCTAAGTATCTATCATTTTGACGATAGTGGTCCTGACAGAAGTATGGTTTTGGCTTTGGTAAAGTCATTGTAATGCACGGCCTAGAGTGCAATGACTATTTTTAATAAAAGGCTGTTTTAAATAAATAATTATCCAATATTGAATCGATTTTATTAGATTTTATTAGTAGTAGTAGTATTAATAACAGTTATTTATTTTATAAATAAATTGATTTATACATTTTAATATTATTTATGTTATTATTGTAAACATTTTATATTATTTAATTATATTTATATTATACAATAATAATATTGCATATATAATTATTATTAATAATAATAATAATAAATTCTTTAATTATTTAATTTCTGATTGAATGATCATGTAACATTATGTATCATTATGTATGATCATTATTTAATTTCTGAAGGCTCCAGACCAGCAAACTGCCAAAACCTCTGCTTTTATAGAGCCGCTCACACTTGCTGATGATCAGTTAATCAGTAAAGGTGTCCTTAGTTTGTCACACATGGCTTTTCCATTTTGGCCTAGTTTTTGTTATTTATATTTAGTATTTAGTAGAAGTTGTGTAGATGCTTTGTGTTATGCATGTACTGTAGTGCGTGTCCTCACTATGTTGTGTGTTTGTTCACAGATAGGAAGGTTCCTCTGAGGCTGAACTACAGTAAATACTGTACTAATCTAACGGAGGACAATCTCATCCGTCTGGGCGCTCTGCTGATCGACTACAGCACCAAGGAAGCCATGATGGCCATGCGTGACATCGTGCTGGACGACCCCGAGATCAAAATCAGGGTACGACCACAGGATCACAAGTGGACATGACAATGGAGATCATATTCATGCTGATGTATGTGTGTCATTCCAGATTCTGGGAGAACCCAAAGAGAAGCGTAAGCTGGCGGCAGAGCTCACCTTACAGAACCCGCTGCCAGAAACCTTACAAGGCTGCTGCTTCACCATCGAGGGCGCAAACCTCACCGGCGGCAGCAGCATCACCGAGAAGTAAGAACTCAACAACGCTGCTGTGTGTCTTCAGTAGAATGAGAAAGCAGAAACACGGTCCATTTATTTAAATGCACATTTTGGGATATCACATGAAATAATGCTATATGGAAGCATGATAAAGACGCAAATACTATTCAAATACACTTAAGTCTGATAATTCTATTATAATATATATTATAATATTTTTCAATTACTTTTTATTATTTAATATTAGCATAAAAACAATACTGCTTTAAATTGTTGTTTTTCCAAAAAAACAAAAAAATGTAAAAGTTTTCTGTTACTCATTTAAAACACAATAAAATTTAATATGCTCCCTTATTGTTTTATATATTTTAATATGTACACGTCAGAATAAGCATGTTGTTTGAATTTTTACATAACTATAAGTGTTACACTGAATGACAATGGAACATTATTTCAACCAAATTTTGACATTTTATTCTTCAAAAACTTATTTGAAACCTTAAATGTAGACACTTTACTTACATTTAATGTGCTTTCTATGGACATAAAATCACTTTTGTAAATTTCTTTTGATGCGTACATCTTAACATCTTTGAGCCATTGATACAGATTTATATTTTTGATGTGTACATACTTTAATTATTTTGAGCAGTAATAGCAGCAATAACAATAATTTATTATTATTATTTTTTTTTTTTTCAGAGCCACATTTTGAGATATCACATGGAAAAATGCTAAATGGATGCAACAATATGCAAATACAGTTCACAAAATATACATGGACAGGTTGTACTAACTACATGGGTTAAGGTTAGGATTAGTTAATACCCACTAATTATCCAGTTATTGTAATAATAATTGTAGTAAGCACACTAAAAAAAAAAGGTTGTAGAAACCTTTTTACACTTAGAAATCTCTAGCAAATTTCACCAATAATTACAAAGAAATGGCGAGTAATTACACATGAAAGTAGAAAGACTGAAATACTCCAATTCTCTTTGAAATATGATGTTTTACAGTGCAGAACAGGATCGTAAAATGAAATCTGGATCTAAACTTAATCCTTAAAAAAACGTATATTTTTAAAATAAATAAAACGTACAATTCATAAAATGTGCATAAGCTAGAGTTAAAACATTTAACATTTGTGCATCAAAAAAGTCTGTGACTGAATAATTCACTGTCAGACCATTATCATCTGTTTTAACATTTTTCAAAACTCCCCACAATCCCAGATTTTCAGGGTGGTCCTCTCACTTCTAATACCGACTGTACATTTAAACACAGCGAGGATACACCTCATGCTGTTCTTTGCTAGTGTCTGTTAGTTAGATTTCTAACGTGTAAATATTTATTCGTCTCAGACTGGAGTCACCCATCGAACCCGGGCAGGAGGCCAAAGTCAAAATCTACTTCACTCCCACTCAGTCTGGCCTGCGCAAACTCGTGGTGGATTTTGACAGCGACAAGCTGGGCCACGTTAGAGGATACAAGAACGTTATCATCGGGAAATGAGACCCTTCGGTGCTGGAGAACGGAATGTGAAATCCTCTATTTTTCCATGTACTTGTTAGTATTCACAGAGTATTACGTTATCTTTTATATACTGTATTTTTCTAAGAATGTGAAAGCCAAGCTGGGCAATATGCAACAATAAATGTCAAGAAATCCTTTCATTTTTAGGACGCTGAAACGTGCATATTCCTGGATGTGTTTGGCGCCCCATTGCATTGTGGGAAATATCATGCTGTAAAAACACAAGAATGAAAATGATGCATGCATGGAAGAGACAGTAGTTTAAGAGAGTAAACATTTTATATGCAATTTTTATGTTTTTGGTATCTTTATATCTTTATATTCAGCTGTGACTTCATTAAAAACCATTACGCTATTACGTTTTTAATCTGTTTTCATTTAAAGGCCTCACATCATGAAGAACCTAATTTGAATTCTTGAAAAGTGTAAAAAAGGTTATTTTTTGATACTAAGCAGCAAAATCGACTCTCAAAAGTGACATCTGTTTGTTCACATTAATCATGCAAATTTATAACGATGCCCATTGAATGTGTCCACTAAGACTTTTTTATGTCCAAAAAACCCATGACTAACCATTTTTTAAATCAATGTTATTTCCTGAGGTTCTAAAATTATGATACGAGCCCATTAAAAGGTTTTTCTTCAGTTTCATCATTGCACACGTTTGATGTACTTCAAATGATGCCCAGAATGCGGTTATCAACATGAACACTAGAAGATTATCTCAGCACATGACTATTCATTTGCCAACACAAGAAGTCAGTCAGACAGCGTACAGTTACTGATCACACGCTCTTTTCCCAAACACTGTTGCTAGAGCACATAAACATTTACATACAGCATTACAGTCGAATCAGACGTTTGGCATCATTTTCTGGCCACATTCACTTTTGTTTCATAACAAGTAATAAATTAACTCATAAAAATGCAGTTGATCCCTGTATTTCCCAATGTAAATACTGCAGATGGATGAGAGTGAACTGTCATATGTATTGAAATTAAAATTTAAAAAATGGTTTGTTCTCCCAGGCTTAAAAAGACATGAGTAATTGATGACAGGATTGTAGTTTCGTGGTGAATAAAACAGAATAGAAACTGCTTTTATATTAAATAAATGATGTTCCTCGGAAGGCTATCATCACATTTAGGCCCCAATAGTATAATTTTTGTTTGAAAATGAATCTGAAGATTATAGGTTTATCCAGAGGGTGGCAGTGTTGCATCATGCACAATTTACAGAAGAGCCTGATAATAAAAATAGCATGAACACGGTATCTTATCTCTGAACAGAAGACAATAAATCAAGCTTCAAAAGCATATTTTCAGACTTTATAAACTATCATCACAAAATTAGAGTTGAGCAAATAACAGCAACTATTTTTAATGTTTATATGACTTAACTGAAACGTGATAATACACTAAAAAATGCTGGGTTAAACACAACCCAATTGCTGGGTTTGTCCCTATTTTATCCAGCACTGGGTTGTATTTAACCTAGTATTTTTTAGAGTGTATCTTCAGAAATACCATAAAGTTACATAACTGACACATCTTCTTCCATACAGAACATCAAAGCAGATATACAGAAGATGCATCATTAAAATCACTTTAACGTCAGAAAACTGCAGTTCAACTGTTCAACATTAAAGGAAAAGCCCATTTAGAAATGTAGCTCTATTTCTAAGTCTTATAAAGCACACACACACACACAGCCATTTACCATCTTGTGCGCAACACATTTTTGTCATGATACAAGCTAAACAAATGAAAATCACATACAAATAAAATGTGTAGGAGTATAGATCAGTAAAGGTAAACATCACTAACACAAATAATATTTTACATTCAGTCCTTATCTGTCCTTCCTTATTAATGAATAAATTAATATGTCACTCTCTGCCAGCAGCTAAATTCACCCTCTTCGTTTCTTCTCAGTCATTAATAATCACCTCTCATTTCTGCTGCTGTTTTATTAACCCTATTCTTCTCCTCTCCTTACGATGACCAGATGACCAACAAATCAGGAGAGGTGTAGCCTGAGTCAAACCTGAACTTTTATACCGACGTGCAACGCAAAGAAAACAAATGTTTGCTGACTTCCAAGTGTTTTTAAGATGACCAGCAAACAGAAATGGTTCCAAAAGTGAGTAGGTTCAATTCTAAAAGCTATTAAATAGTTTGAATCACTTTGTCAGAAAGTCATAGAGGTTTGAAATGACACGAGGATGAGTAAATGATGACAGCAAACTATCCCTTTAAATCTACACATTGCTGGTTCCTTTTGATAGAAGAAGCACAAATCAGTTTCAGTTCGCAATAAAACTAATGTTAAGACTAATTATGCGGACAACTTGTGTCAGGATATGGTTAGTAACATCAGGACTGTTCTAGTTTTATCGAGGCGTCTCTCTTCTCACGTGCAGTTTTCAGCAGGACAGTCACTCTGTCTTCACATCTCTGCTCTCTGATTGCTGTTTCTTCAATCTTGTCTTGTTCCCCTCGTGGAGCTGATGATGATCCTCTTTATAAAACTGATGAGCCACTTGCCATGTCCTCTGCTCTTCTTCTTTCTTATGGTGGCCCTTCTGATGGTCTTCAGGACCTGCGTTCTGCTCTGACGTGTTCTTCTCCTCTTCTTTCTTCTGGTCTCTGTTGTGGACGGGACTCAGGACGTCTGGCTGTACCTGCAGATACGCCTGAACTCTGTGCCGCTGGGCTCGGCTTTCACTGAAGTCGATGACCTGACACTCGTACGTTCCCTCGTCTGATGGTCTGACGCTAGACAGACGAAGCTTATGTGAGATGTTGCTGCCAACCACTTTTACCACCTTAAAACAAACACAAATATGAATATTGAACAAGAACATTTAACTATCCGAGACTCCCACAAAACAAGTCCTTGTAAGCTAATTAAGTTTGTGAATTAAGAAAACCAATCATGTTTATGTGCACCAATTAAAATTAGTCCATCTACTGAAGAAGCATGTTTGGAGCGACATTGAGACAGATTCTCTCACAAAGCAAAATTAATGAACATGAATATACAGACAGGTAAAAGCCCCTCATGGCCTTTATTTTGTAAGTAACTCCACTCTTGTTTGTTGCTGTCAGGGACATGGATAAGAATTAATGAGATAATTAAATTACTGCAGAATTACTTAAAAATTATTTAAAAGAATTGGCAAAACTGACTAATTTCAACAAGAAAATAGCAGGAACAAGTCTTAGTTTGATCAGAATGTGCTGATGTGAATTTGTTAAGAAGATCCCAGTAGATGTGAAGTGCCAGAATATATGTCAGAAGAAGCTAAATATAATAAATCAGAATATAATGCATATGTAAACCTGATCATTAAGCACTTACATTTAGTCAAATTAAGACAAATTTCAAAATGCAAAACTCACGCTTATTTTAGTCGCCCCCTTTGGTGTGTTTTCCTGTGAAACCACCTGTACACACACATTCAAAATGAAAATTAAGTGCTAAACCAAATATATTCTTGGAAAAAAAATCATCATGTCAATAAAAATACATAGCTTGAATATTGGGTAAAATAGTCCAATTTATTTAGAAATATTTTTATACTTTTATATATATATAAAATCTGAACAACTAAAAAGAGTCTTTCCTGATTGGTTGTCCATGCTGGTTGCTCCGCCCACTCTCTGCTGTGTCTGGTGTACCACCACTGGATCTCCAAGGAGACGGAGGAGGAGCTAGCACCTCTGAAGGAGCAGGCCATCTCCACATCATCTCCAGCCTGAGAGACCACGTCATGAGGAACCTCGGTGAAAAGAGCTGAAGAGAAAGAGAGATTTTAAAAACTACACTTGATACCTTATGCATTTTGTTGACCATTAGTCATCCTGCTCTCTCTTATCAGCTACTGGTTCCGTGAATCTCTTCACACAGATACTTTCAGGCAGCGAAGACTGACCGGAAAAGAGAAGAAATTGTTGAGTAAAGAAAATTATAGTTGAACCACTGATGTCACATGGACTGTTTTAACGATGTCCTTACTACCTTTCTGGGTCTTGACCGTGGTAGTTGCGTTGCTGTCTATGCAGGGTCAGAAAGCTCTCGGATTTCATCCAAAATATCTTAATTTGTGTTCTGAAGATCTTACGGGTTTGTAACGACATGAGGGTGAGTAATTAATGACAGAATTTTCATTTTTGGGTGAACTATCCCTTTAAAGGTCTGAGAGTCCAATGCTCAGGAAAACAAATTAATTGCAAAAGGACTGGAGATAATTAAGCAGACACATCTGAGGACAAACAATATAATGAATTCATAACACACAAACACATACAGTATGTGTGTATGCCAGCTGCCTAAAGGGACTCAAATGTTCCAGAGAGAAACAGCTTCTGCAAACTCCTGTTCTCCATGTCTTCATTAAAGAACCTTTTTTCACTATGAAGAACCTTTTTTTGGAATGGGAAGGTTCCATGGATTTTAAAGGTTCCTCATAGAACCATCAATTCCAATTAAGAACAATTCAATTCAATGAAACTTTTTAATTCAATTCAAACTTTATTTTTGGTTTATTTCATGACATTCAATTCAATCTTATTTTTGGCTTATTTCAAGACATTTTCATTTTCATATCACATATTTTACATATTCAATTCCTGTGTGTAGATGTAAATGCTGTGCTGTAAATAATAAAAATAACCAAGGGGAAAAAAAAATTTCCCTTAAAAAAAAAAAGTTTAAAAAAAAATTATTGTTATTACATTTGCTTGGGCATCAAAGCACTTTGAAGCGCTTTGAAGATGTTCTGATTATTTAGCGTATAGTTCACATTTTCCTTACTGAGATGATACAGCATCTAAAACTTAAAGAATGAATAATAATAATAATAAATTCCATTCCAAAGTATTATTTTGCTGCACATTATTCATATTAAAGCAGCAAGAAAAGGGCTTAATATTCAAAATATTTATTGTAGTGAAATGGTTATTATAGTTAATTAAAACAAAAACTGAAACTAAATTTTAAAAACCATAAAAAAACATTGTTACTTGAAATAAATGTTAACTGAAATAAATTCAAATGTGAAAAAATAAAAATAATAAAGTTAGTTGCCAAGGCTACATTTCTCATTTTTGATTTAAACGTGATGTACGAAAACAAACACACTGAAATAAAAATGAATAAAACTATATAGACATTAAATGACAAAAAAAAACTACTAATGAAAAAAACAACAAAATTACTAAAACTTTAAAATGAACATGGAAAATATAAAAATAAAAACTGATTCAAAATATTAATAAATGACACTAAAATAACTTAATTATTCATAACAAACATACAGAAATTCAAATGTAGTCAGAATTACAGAATATAGCATATAATTAAAAAACTCAATTGATTTGAAAAGTAAGTCCTGCTGCAAACAAAGGGAATAAAATGAGGCCACTGTAAAGCCTCCACCACTTCCCTTTCTATGTCTGTCTGTGGTAAAACAGGCGTCATAAATCACACATTCATAAGGATGAAGGATGACATTAATATTCTTACTGTGGAGAGAATCTGCTCAACAACTAGATGCACATTTGATTGCACTGAAAAAATATGTTGTCTCTCTTAAAAAGCAAGCACAAAGACATTCAATGCATACTGCTTGAAAGCATACATGAAGTCACTCAATTAATATAACAGGCCTACAAAAATCATCATAATCTTGATTGTTTTTAAAAATGAAGAATAATGACAAATAAAAAAGCAAAAAGAGTCCAGACGGGGGTTTAAAAAACCCACCACAGATGTGCATGTCTGTGCTGCATTAGAGTCACTCTCTCTTTCAGGAAATAAGCACGTAATTGAGACTAAAAAGAGACTAATGCAATTCAAGCAGAACTGAAGCACTGATCCACTGAGACTTCATACCGTCCCAGAGCAGATTTCTTCTAACCCCAGGGATGGACACTGTGAAGCATGCCTCATCTCATCTCCTGACACACTCCACACGTCTGCTATATGCTTCATGTCAGGCTGCATATCAGAAACATTTGTGCATTCATATCTATCTATAATCTGTCTGTACCGTGTCAGTTTGTGTACTGCACTGGAAACTATACATTGCATTGTATTTTGTACTGCATTGTACAATATATGTGCATAGAAGTAGATAGTATTGCACATTATAAAACTGTTATGACATCTGAACCTAAATTCTGATTGGGTGAGCAATTAAGATACTGTTATAAAAAGCAGATAAACACAAGTTGCTGCGTTAATTAACACCATTAATTCCCAACAATTGGCTAAATACACTAAATTATGTGGTAGAATATTTTAATAAATATTATGTAATATTTATAGCATTTGTCATATTTTAATTAAGCTATGAATAAAATATAGCTGATGAACAAAATGCATAGCAAAAAAAAAAAAAACCTTGTTCAATGTATGCAGAAATGTTAATAATACGCCAATATATTACAATGATATGATTTATTTAGTGCATTTTTATGTTATCAACAATAATAGCTACAGGAATTATTTTTGATTAAATCATCAATAAAATGATTGACATTTTATGAAAACTTCACAGTCGATTTAGTCAATTTTACAAACATTTTCAAAGAAACAGCACGTAAAACATTGAATTAACGGTAAAGTTTTGAAGTAGAAAGACTGAAATGGTATTTTCTTGCAAAATATACTCCAATAATCTTTGTTTTGTAGTGCAACTGAGCCAAATTGGTCTGTACAGTATATGTTTTACATTGAGATTTTATCCAATCAGCTCCACACACACACCATATAAACATATTTTCCCTTTGCGTCTTGGTAATTACTCCCTGATTTCTGCTCTTTGTTTCTGTAATGAGAATATACACCGTGACCATCTGTTTTCTTTGTTTGGAATGAGAAAGTCTGTGTGTCCTACAGTTCCTCTGGTCATTAATATGCAGTCTCCAACTGGTTGGTATAAAGGTGATTATCCAGAGTCGAAAATGCTGCAGTGTTATTGTCTGAGAGTCAATGTGCCCAGCACTAACACAGACTCCATCATCTCGCTCTTACATCAGTCTGTTTAACATATTTTGATTGCTGAAGCTGTATGTGCTTCATCACACTCATGGATCACCTGTGGCAGCAGTTACAGCTCTCTCTCTCTCTTTAGAGAAGTCATTATAAGCACTGCACGATTGACGCTGAGATTTCAGATTGCTCTTGTTATCACTCAAATGCCATGACGTTGTGTAAATATGAATTTCCAATGCACATGAAAAAACAAAAATTCTTCTCTGTTGGAGCTCATTTCCTAATCTAGCCTAGCATTGTATACTACCAATATTGTTGGCTGTGTGACGATGTCTTATGTTCCTCTATAGTAACTTGCTATGGATAAAAGTGTCTGCTAAATGCATAAATGTAAATTCATGTTTTCTGTATGCACGAATGACAAACTGCATTTGTAAAATGTGCAAAACACAAGACATTGTGTTTGAAGAATAATGACACAGAGAACTAACAATTCTTGTACATTCAGCATTTTCAACATTTTTATTTCCGAGAGCTTTATTTGATTTGGCTGCTTTTCTACCCACATAATCTTTTTGTATTTTTATTTTGTTGATGTTACCTATTCTTTTTCAATAATATTAGTGTTTTTTTTTTTTGTATTGTATATTATTTTGTATATTTTTTTCTTTTACACTCGCCTTGAGAATCTACCGTGAAATAAACTATAAACAAATATAGTAATAATAATAATTATTATAAGTAATTTGTAATTTGTTTGGGAGTCACTGCAAGCCCTTCAGCCGTGACTTATTCACTGTTACTTTTTTTTTTAAGTAAGTTCGTTAAATGCTGTCCTTCCGCTAAAAAATAGTTCCTGACAGTGACAGCAAATGGCAAGAGAATTGCTGCGCCTACTTATACTATGCCCTAAAAGTATGTACTCTTTTTGTGAAGAAAAAGTACATACTTTTGAGTATGTAGCAGAAGAGTATAGGCAAGCTTTGGGACAAACTACTTCGTCATAACTGCGTCTTTAATGGATGCGCTGTTGCTTAGTTTTCTTATGGAGCTCAAATCCGCTGTGTCATTTATTTTTTTAACACCATGCATGCTATTTTCTCACACACAGACATCTGCTTATCTCTCAGCATGAGAAAACGTCTGTTTTCCATCTTTTAGTTTAAAACAGATCGATTCGCAGCACAGCTTGCAAGCGGCATTACAGTGTAAATTGATGGGCATATAGACATACAGAATCATAACTGAAACAGAAAACGAATAAATACAGTGATATTCCCTCCGCTCTTCGGAAACTGTGGATTCAGCTGACTCACTCATTTGTTGCCACCTACTGGTAAACTGATGTAACCTTCAGAAAGAGTCCCTGTACACTCTGGAACAAACACAGACAAGTGAATGATACAAACTACTGTTGAACTGTATGTATGTAACGCTGCTCGACCAATCAGATTTAAGGTATATCACATGATGTCATAGCATAAAATAGCATACTATTGTTTAAAATGTTGCATACTGTCACACAGTAGGCAGTTTAAAGTATATACTATGCAGTATGGAGTATGAATGTGAATACTGTTTTAAGCCCCTCCACTGTTGCTTTTGCTGGGTTGCTATCCTGTTGGTAGATGAGTTTTCTTCCCGGTTCCAGTGTCCTTGTGGATTGCAGAAAGTTTTCTTTTCATTCTTTGTACTTTGCTTCCACTTTTTCTATTTTTATGAGGTTTCCAGCAGAGCAGCATTACCGCGCAGCATGCCGTAGGCTACGTTGCCAATGCTTTACACATCATCCTGGATACTTCCCCTGACGACTGATTTCCCAGGAACCTTGTCTTGGAATGTTCCTCGTTCTTCATGAAGATGTGTTTCCATGGAAATCCACTAATGTAATTTCATGTGCATAATTGCATGCTGGTGCAATCAAATCAAGTTAATTATGCATTCAATAACTGTATTATTTTTGATTAATTCAGTGAAATTAATTACCTTTTTACTCTAATATTGCAGGCTACACTGTTCTACATGCATAAATGCATAATTGCTCTATACTGTAACCCAAAGGGTGAATGCTTTTTATATGCATATGTGTAATGCTTTATTTCTTACTACGTTTGATATATTAAGCAAAATTGTAAGCATATTCACAGTTAAAGACTGTAGTAGAGTGACTGTATATACTGTAGCTGTTAGTATAATGTGTATTTTAGGATGACTGGAACACTGTATTGACCAATCAGCCTTGCTGATCAGTTTGTCAATGACTTTGCAACAGTTTTTGACATTTGCAAAACTGGCTACCAATAGTTATGGGAGAAATTAAGCTCTTTGAAACTTTGAATCAATTGCTTCGCAAAATGATTCACGGTTTCAAAGTGCTTGAAACGCGACAAAATGGTGATGCCTGCTGGTCAAAACGGTGTAAATGCAACTAAAACTGAGTTCAAACATGGATAAAAACACCTTTTACAAACCAATTGCAATGTTTTATTGAAAGTGTAATCTATTACATGCAATTAATGAATCATCTAATACCATTAAATATGAAGTGTCTGTATAAAAACCTGTTATCTCATTCATTTGTAGGGTATTTTGTTTGTTTTATGGAGAGCTTCCTTTTTAATATATAAATGTGTCATCAAAAATGTCTACAAATTTATAGCAATGATGTAACAAATTCTTGTTTACTGAAATGTTTCAAGTTTGATACATAATTCGAATGACTGGTTCGAACAAATGATTCACAAATGTTTTGAAGCTTCACAAAAGCGCCCATCACTAGCTACCAAGACACCATAACATCATATAACATCCTAAAATGTTGGATTCAGACATGCCTTGTTGCCTTCCTACCTATGTACACAGCACATTTTTTTTCAGATTTCCAGCGTTAAAAATCTCATTGGTCTTCACTGCACCAGGTAAATGCAAGCATTGCCTACTACAGCGATTCTCAACAGGTTTAGCACTGAATGATGGAAGTGAGTGTGTGTAAGAAGAAATAATGAATGAGAAATAAGGAAGTTGTTGACACCAGCATGATATTTGTTCATTCTCAGCTCAACAAAGTGTTGGTTTGATCTCAGCTGGAGGAAGACCTCCATACGGACGAAGACCTACAGCAGAGGTCAGACCCAGCTGGACCCCCTGTCTGAACAAAACCCCCTGTAGACATTATTAAACCAGCTCGTGCTGACCTGAGACACGGAGAGAAATCTCAGCGGACGAGGAGATGGCAAGTTCTCTGCAGTTCTGTGCAGCAAAACGTCCCATCAGACACGTTTCAATACACTGAATATACGAAGCACACAATTTTTAAAGAAGGAAATCACATTAGCTTTTATATCCCAATTAATAACATTTACTGTTAAATCATTTTGCTGCTTTGGTTTGAACAGATCAGTGCTGCACCAAATTCTACAATGAAAAGCTGACATTTTATTTAGAAACATTCCAGATGTTTCTTCATTTTTCTCTTTCTTTAATTGAACAAAACATGTTTTTAAAGCTTAAACTGACTTAAATTCTGACTTTTTTCCCTCACAATTCTGAGTTTATATCTTACAATTCTGAGAAAAGACGTCCAAAGTCAGAAAAGGTGCGTATTGCAAGCTATCAACTCGCAGTTGCAAGGAAAAGTCAGAATTGTGAGTTTATATCACACAGTTCTGAGGAAAAAAAGTCACAATTACTATTATTTATTTATTTATTTATTTTATTTCGTGGTGGTAAGCAATTCATGAAACAGCAAAAAATGTAAAAGAAAACTATTACATATCATAATAATAATAATAATGATGATGATGAACTGATGTTTTGATCACTTAGTATTTTTTTTAATCATATATTTATAAAAGTTACAATTTGTGACAACTAGCCCCAACCTGACATTTATGAAAAATACTCATATTTATTTAAAATTGCCATGAGAACACAGATCAACTGTTTATTTTATGCAACTGACTCATCTTAATGAATGTCAGTGTGGTTTTATTGTGTTCATTTGTTACTTATATTGCAAAAATGATATTAGGAATTTAGTTTAGAGAACAGAATTCACAAAAATTATTCTATTTAAGAGTTTTAAACACAATAGGTGTTAACTAGGCCACTGCTAGATAAAACACGCATATGTAAATGCAATTTTAACCAATACTTTAAAGTTTCTGGAATATATACTCTGTGACAACTTGCCCCAGTCTGTCCTGTAGTCCGATGTATTCACAATATTCTATTTGTTTTAATTTGGAATGCGTTAAAAATACTTAATGACCTATTTCTGTTAATACCATATAATTTATCATAAAAAAGAATCTTAATCTTTTCTGACTCTAAGAAACTTCAGATTAGCAGTTTTTGAAAGTTTTACTTTCAAAAACATATCTTAAACTAGCCTAATTTCAAGCTCAAGTATTCACATATGTAAAGACAAACACTTCATAAAATCAGCAAAAGAAGATCAAAAAGTATTGAGCTTCCTACCCGCTCCGTATGATGCCCCAGAAATGCGAAGTGGGCAGCTCGTTTGAGACACATCCCACCACACTCAATGCCATTCCGTTTGTTTCCGTTCCTCACACCTACCGTTTCCAGATACGGGATTGTCCACTGCCAAATTCACGCTGATTTGGGCATAAAGTCCCACTGAGTGTATAATCCACAGCATCTCTCCAAACGAGCCCATTCCTGCTCTATGCACTCATCAGATCTTGCCGGTAAAGCTCTGTGTTCCGTCACGCTCCGGAGCGCACTAATTGCCCGCGCGGCTGTGGCGGAGGAGCACACGGGGGAGGGGCGCCTGTGATGCGGTCTGCTGAGCATTCAATTAGGCGGAGCGATATAATTCATGAACCGTTTCTGCTCGTACTATCAGGTATGAGACCGGGACAGTGAAAGTCACTTTGTGCGTGTGCAGACTAAACATTTCCACAGTTATTGGCCAGGATTAAATTTAGATTTAGATTTTAAGACTTCAGCAGCTTTCTTCAAGCACTGAGCTTTTGTTTTGGTAGCGTGTCAGTGAGAAAATATGGCAGATGCAGAGTCTGTTTTGACAGTAAATTTTCATTTCCAACAAAGCCAAGTTGCATGTACAAAATATGATAGTATTATACAACAGCACCTTCATAAAATTAATTTAAAAAAGGAAAACACATCTAATTTACATACTTTATTCATCAATTTGTACACTCTAAAAAATGCTGGGTTAAAAAGGGACAAACCCAGCTATTGGGTTGTTTTGACCCAGCGGTTTGGGTTGTTTTGAGTCAAACCCAGCATTTTTTTAGTGTAGAAGTAGAATTTTAAAATCTTGATTTTTACTTAATTTTTTTGTTGTTGTAGAAACGGTACATTGTCATCTTTGCTCCAACCAAAGTGACTTGAACACACATGACATCATAATTTCACCTATGCAACTTGTAAATACGACTTTCCCAGGAATACTTGAATGCACCATTAGATCCAAGAAAGTCTGACCTATATTATTATTATTATCACCTGACATAGGCTACCACAGTAAATTGCTGTTCATTACATGATTTCACACACACACACACACACACATATATATATATATATATATATATA